TCTGTATGTACATGACCTGTTCACTGGATGGATGATGAATGGCAACGGTATCTGTGATGGCAGTGCTGGTGGTGGCTATGCTGGGTTTGTTGGTGCTTGTATGGTTCTCATGCATTTTACCCGCATTCTTCAGCGACTTGCTGTTGCCCAGTCCATGTTCCGTCTCCTTGGCTTTGCTGGTTGTCAGCTTCTGGGGCTCCGGTTCCGGTTCGCTGAGCAGCGAAATGTGACAATTCCAGCCGGACTCGAGGCCCATCTTCTCGGAGAAGACGCGCGAACGCAGCTCGTTCTCCTTGCTAAAGTGCACAAATCGTATGCAGGCGCGCTCCAGGCGCTCCACCAAGTGGACAATGTCATTCTGGGCCTGATACTGCATGGTCACCATGCCAATGAACACCTGATGGCACTGCATCTCAAAGCAGCCCTCGACATCGTTGCAATCCTCATCCTTGCTCTCCGAAAAGAGCAGCGAATCGGTGCTAATACTGTGGCTCAACTTCACATGGTGTCCGCCCTCGAAATCGCAGTGCGACTTGTCCACATGCTGCATTCGCAGCTTCGACTCTGGCGGCAGCTCCAGATATGCAATCTGTCCATTGCTGTGCAGCGGTCCGCTCAGCGCTCCATGAATGCCATGGCGCAGCGGCCGATAGGCGAACGCTGTGCAGTAGGAGGTCAGTGCGCTGCGCTGATAAAAGTCCAATGCACGCTTGCGATCCTGCGGCGACAACGGACGCAAATCCTTGCCGTCCCAGAAATCGTCGCAGCAGTCCAGTATAATGTCCGCGGTGCCCTGTGTAAATAGCGACAGATAGCCGCCGGGATTCTCACGCATCACCACCGACAAGGAGTGCGGAAATGGAACCTTCACCTTGGTCGACAGCTGCAGCTGGCGCGCAAAGCGTATGTCCCGACGCACCACATCCGGTTGCTGTAAAATAAATGAAAGCAGATGAAGAGCAGTTTCAAATAAAGGTAAGTTATTTAAAATATTTTTTTAAAGACTTTTTTAAAATAATTTTATTCACATGTTTTTAATGGTAACTAAATGTTCATGTTAACATATTTTGCTATTACATGAAATTGCTAACAGTTTAAATGTTAAGCTGCTGTTAAGCGCTTTTATTAACACACTCTGCTCTGTGGCAGGCTTTTATTTACATTTGAATGGTTAATAGCTGCAGTGAGGTTTATTTTATAAAATTCTTTAACGTACTCTAGCTAGCTCAGGCAATATAGGATTGAATAGTAAGAAATATGGTGCCTATTTCCTACTATCAAGAAGTCTATTGCATATAACATATAAAATTGTTACAACAAAAATTAAAAAGAAAACCTTACAATTTGATGAGCTCAGCTCTGAATCTGTTGTTAAATCTTATCTAGAAAGTGTGTCAAGTGCGCTTACCAGGTGCCTATAGCTGGCCAGTTGACCCTCCAGGGCAAAGCGATCCGTTGCATGATCGGTGAAGCCAATTTGTTTGGCTAGCTCGCACAGACAGCGTCTGGTTTAACAAATTGTACACAATATATATAGAGAGAGAACCGATTAGAACTGGTTACAGCTGCTGGACATGTGAAGGTGGATGGATGAATGGGTGGGTGCGTGCGTGTGCTAGCATGCAGACAGTCAGTCAAGCGTAATACATAAAAAGGGGGAGGGGGGCGGGGCGGGGCATATGGGGTTGGGTAGATGTCTAGATGGGGGCCAACTATATTTAAGCATTCTTGGCAACATAATAATTCTTGTTGTTACTTAAAATAGCATGCCAATTAAGTGTAGATGCGGCGCATGGGGTGGACGAAAGTGCGTTTCATGAACAAACTATGAGTACAGTGTACACTGAACAACACAACACAACACAACAACAAAAACAACAGCAACAAAAACAAGTTAAATAAATTCATGAAATGTGTACAAAACTGATGTTATAAAAAATATTTGTAGTCAATTTAATTAGTGAAATCAAAAAGGGGAGCTTGTAATTTGTTAAATTTCGCTGATTTTTAGGTGGGAGAAGGATATTTATGTACACAGCTAAATGATTTGCTCGAAAATTAGATAGCCAATTAGGTTTAGTAATTAAATAACTAAAATTTTGCTGAGAAATGATTTGCATTTTTGTAGTTTTTAGGCTTGAGGCTGTTTTTTGGGGGCTGTTTTTACGAGGAATCAAAAAATACATTTATTTAAGAGTTGTATAACTTTACCAATTGCATGTTTGTTTATATAGTATATATATTATATATATATATATTTATATATAAACGTATATATGGGGGTTTATCAATCCAATTGAAGTGTCGAGTGTTTTGCAATCAAAACAAAAATCAAAAAAGAAAAATAGTTGCCCAAACAACAAAAACAAACGAATTTCGTTGTGAGCAGCACAATTCCCGCATATACACAACGAGAACGCGTATATATGCTTGGATAAAAATATAAGACTATATAGGATATATAATCGATTATTGTTTTAAAAAAAAAAATTAAATATATATAAAGAGTATGTTGGTTTCGGTTAAAGCAACAAGGCTAACAACTTTGATGGCAATGAACTACGTACCCATGCAATAGGCTTTTCATACTGGACTCAAACATCGCATACCGATTTGTCACAGGCACCAAATCTTTGTCGAGCATCGCCACGGCGCTGACGTGACCACAAAACTGTGCATAATGCTCATGTGTAAGCGGCGAGCAGGTGTTCAATAAAATGGCCAGACCTGGTTCGGGTGTATCAATGCAACATAAACATAAACTTTTATGCAATTCAAATTGTTCAATACCCACCCAAAGGCTTCAGGGATTTGATGTGCGCCTTCCACTCGTGATCATCAAATTCCAGGCGAAATGGACAGTGCTGATCGTGTGTGAGATCGAGCACTTCTGCGACAATGCCGCGCTCCTTGTTCTCCGCATCGTTCACATTGTCGCTTTCCGTTGACACGGATAGCTGGCTGCCATCATCTGGCGGCTCCTCGTCGGTGTTGTGCAAAAAGAAGACCTTTTCGGCGGTGGGATTCGGCCAGGATAATATGCCCTTTTTATCCACACAGCACAGCGCTGATATGGAGCCCAGCACCTGCACCAGATTCGCTGAACGTGGCAGCAGCTCGCTATCACCCTGCCACAGTTGCGTCCAGATGCGCAGCACATTGGAGCGCAGCAATGAGATACTGTCATAATCATAGCCGGGCGAATCTATGTCCAAATCCTCGAAAGATTTGCTTGTGGTCTTTTCCAGTATGGCCTGTGGCGTCTTCAGGAAGCACTGCAGTCGCGCAATGCCCCACAAATTCATGGAGATCCACAACAGTGGAAAAACAAGCGGCAACAAAGGAATGACCGCAGCTGCGGGCGAACCAATCAGTACGTGACGCCAATTATGCTTCTCATCCGTGGCCAGGCCATAGCCATGCAGGCGCAGCAGGCCCGCAAAAAGCGTTATAATCAAAGCGCTAATAAAGCCCCATTGTTGGATGTACTTGGTAACCAGCTGTGGGCAGCAGAAAATAGTATTATTAATTATTATAGTAAGTTGTATGAGAGACTCACCAGATAGCGTTGTTGATTGTAAATGGTGGGCGGCCGCTTCAGTGAGTTCCTCAGGCATAAACGCAAGTTATCCAGATAGGGTGTGCGTTCCAGACAACACACCAGATCCGGCAGCGGAGCACGTGCCATTGGCTTGACAGGCGGGTCACCAAGCTGTGCTGCGGAGGCGCCATAGATTTCGCTGGCATTAAAAAAGCGCTTAGACTGCAGCTCATGGCAGGGACCAGGAGATATATGACCCGGCCGCAGCACAATGCAATCGCCACGCACCAGCAGCGCCCACGGCAGATTGACAATATGTCCGTCGCGATAGGTCCACTGCAGTGAGACGCACGGCGACATGGGATTGCTCAAATGCGGATAATTCGTTGCATGCCAGTTCTCGCTGAGATGCTGTTCGGCCAGTCGCAGTTCGCCCAAGGCATGTCGTGTCTTCCGGAATATCTCCGTGCGTCGCAGATTGCTCTCTCTGATGACCACGTACAGGTCCACCAGGAGAATGACCAGCAAACAAATTGCGGGCCAATACATGCCGGTGATCAAGAGAACGCCGCTGGTCAGCAACGTCGTTCCAATGGACAGCCAGCCCAGAGGACTGTCGTATCGCTTCGTGAAAGCAGCACGCAATTTACAATGGCAGCTAATAAAAGGAGAAGGAATGAGGTATTGTTATTACACTCTTAAAGGTCATTGATTGTGGCCGTGTTTACCTCTCTGCGGCGCTGGCCCGCTCATGTTCCAGCAGCACGCTCTCAATGTCCTCGTGCAGCCGTGCAAGTGCCACCTTTGTGCTCAGGCCGCGCTGTACATTCGGCTTTGACGCGGACCTCGATGACGACGGCGAAGGCTCCGCAACACCAGCAGGAGCGGCAGTTTCTTTGTCATTGGTACATTTTGCATCTGTTGCTGCCTCTGCTGTGTTCTGGCTTCGCATTTTACCGGAAATTGAAAATTACTCTCGGTAGGCACACGCCTGTCTAACACATAGCTTAACAATATTATTATGCACTGCCGCTGCTAGAAGGCGTGTGTTTATATGTTGCTGTTCGTTTTGGTTGTGCGAAATACATATGTGCGTTGCCAAGTGCGTGTTGCGCTGCTGCCAGTATTTTGCATACAGTTGGCAACGCTATCAACTGATAAGGGCGCAGCAAAATATTTAAATTAGAGATGAACCGATACCTTTGGAATATTGCTTACACTTATTTCTGTAAAGTTTTCACATTATTATTATAAACTGCCCTCCTAAATATGGTAAATACCACTAATTGAGACAATCCAATTCCATACACTTGCCAGTTTCGAAGACGGGCACTCGTTCAGTTGAAAAACTGTCTGTGTTTTGGTTTCGATACTTTGTGCTTGTCATCGGTGATGTATCATCGATAAGCCAACTATCGTGGCATATTCTGTGAATTCGATATTTTGTCCATTAATTTTGTCCATCTTTTGTTGTTGAAGAATTGCAATTAGTATGTTTATCTAAATGCAAAAAGAATCATCAAATCGAAAAAAGTGTTCAAGAATTGTTGTTTAAAAAGCGCGCACTGGAGAGCACTTGCTTTCATTTCATATAACTTGTGAGAGCGTGAGCCAACGTCGGTCCTCTTTGTTTCCGCGTCCACATATGTAAATTAAGCGATCGGTTTTTATTGTCTCTTCAAATTGCACTCGAGATTAATTCAACAAAAACGCAAACATGATGAAAAATAACAAAAGAAAGGGTGTAAAGTGTAGAATTAAATCATGCTCACGAAGCTATAGGAACGGCCCTCTTGTGCGACTTTTTAAATTTCCCAGCAATGACGCTCTGCGCCGCGAATGGATCGCGAGTTGTGGCTTACCCCAGGATATTGATACGCGCAATGCGTATCTTTGCGATATACATTTTGAAAAATTCTGTTTTCACAAAAAGAAAATAAGATCAGAAGCAGTGCCTACCCTACATTTGCCAGACCCTTCGCTGATGCCTATAGACATTCCTAAAGCACCGGATAATATGGACGAAACCCCGTTTTGTAGGGAAGACAACGCAATTGCCAAAATTCCGGTATTTACAAATAAATATATGACGAATGTAAGCAAACATTTTTAGGTTTAATGATAATATATGCTAGATTTGCAGGAGCTTCGTGGACACAACACCAGCTGTGGAAGTATGCCGGGCTTGCATGACCAGCTCAGTGGCACTCGTGGATATCTTCGACGATCAGAGGAAGCCCAGTCTGGCAGATATGCTAAACGACTGTGTCGCCTCCATCATAGTCCAACGAAATGATGAGCTACCGCAGAAAATATGCCTCTCGTGCATTTGTGATCTGCAAACGGCATTTGCGTTCCAGCGCAGGTGTGAGGAAAGCCACCAAAAGTTACGCGAAAAGGTTAATAAACGTAAGATGGTAACTGCCATAAATATGGAGATGCCAGAGGAAGTCATAGACATAGTTCGGCTCAGAATGGAAATAGACGAATTATTGAGCAATGGGGATAAATTGCCAGATGATCAAATGGAATTCCTGCCTGAAGATGAATGCAAAGCAAATACACCCATAAGTATTTTCAGTTCTCGGGACGTTAATACTATGCCCGCCTTTAGCTCCAATCAAAGACAGTCTAGCCTTCTGATGCATAACACAAATCTAAGCAACAGCGAGGTTAATGTCCGGTCCGAGCTACTTGGAACAGAAAACTGGGAGCTGGCCGAGCAAGATAATGAAATAGGCTGCAGTAAAGAAAAAAAGGATACAGAAGATAACATTAAAGAAAAACAAACTGAACTAAGCTCAAAGAACTACGAAGAATGCACCGTGGAGAGCCAGAAAATTTGTAATCCTCTTGCTGTTAACGAGCCTGGAATAGATGCTAAGGAAAATGAATTGAAATGCCCATACTGCCAAAAAGCCCATAAGCATAAATCTCTACTAAAGGTTCACATTCGTACGCATACGGGCGAACTACCATATCAGTGTCCTCACTGTCCCAGAGCCTATAGCACGTTCCCCACTCTGCGCTCACACATCTATTTTCATGGAGGTAAAACTACCTTTCAGTGTGTTTACTGCAAAAGACACTTTTTAGAGAAAGCCAAGTACGATGAACACACGCGCTATCATATTGGGCGCAAGGCTTTCAAATGTTCACAATGTCCAAAAATCTTTGCTAATTCTGCATCTTTTAAAAACCACATTAGAGCTCATTCTCGAATAGTTGCTAAAAAGAACCCATTTATATGCCCACACTGTACTAAGATCTTTAGTTGTAAATCTATCCTCGATATTCACATTCGTATGCATACGGGCGAACGACCGTATCGGTGTCCTCACTGCCCCAAAGCCTTTATAAAGTTCGGGCTTCTGCGCGTCCACATTATGACTCATGCAGGTAAAGTTACCTTTAAGTGTCCTCACTGCACAAGATACTTTTTAGAGAAAGCCAAACTCGATCAACACATGCGCTATCATATTGGTCACCAGGCTTACAAATGTCCACACTGTCCAAAAATCCTTGCTCGTCCTTCAAGGCTTACAAGGCACATTAGAACTCATGCCGCAAATAACAGTGAGATAAATATCCAGTCCGAGCTGCTTGAAATTGAAAACTGTGAGCTGGCCAAGCAAGCTAATGAAATAGGCCCCAGTAAAGAAATAAAGGATACAGAAGATAACATTCAAGAAAAACAAACTGAACTAAGCTCAAAGAACTACGAAGAATGCACCGTGGAGCGCCAGAAAATTTGTAATCCTCTTGCTGTTACCGAGCCTGGAATAGATGCTAAGGAAAAAAAATTTAAATGCCCACAATGCCCAAAAGCCTATAAGTGTAAATCTTACCTCGATGTTCACTTTCGTAAGCATACGGGCGAAGTACCGAAGTATCAGTGTCCTCACTGCCCCAAAGCCCTTTCCAGTTACCCCAGTCTACGCTCACACATAACTACTCATTCAGGGAAAACTGCCTATAAGTGTCCTTACTGCAGAAAATACTTTTTAGAGAAAGCCAAGTACGATGAACACAGGCGCACACATGTTGGCTACAATGCTTACAAATGTCCACACTGTCCAAAAATCCTTGCTCGTGCTTCAAGGTTTAGAACGCACATTTTAACTCATACCGCATATAATAGTGAGCCAAATGTCCAGTCTGAATGGGTTGAAATAAATTACTATGAGCTGGACGAGCAAGATAATGAAATAGTCTTCAGCAAAGAAGAAAATGATAATGAAGATAACATTAAAGAAAAACAAACTGAACTAAGCTCACAGAACTACGAAGAATGCTTTGATGAAATTGGCAATCCTCTTGCTGTTAACGAGCCTAAAATAGATGCTAAAAACAACCAATTTAAATGCCCACATTGCCAAAAAGCCTTTAAGAAAAAATGTAACCTCGCAAATCACATTCGTACGCATACGGGCGAACGACCGTATCGGTGTCCTCACTGCCCCAAACTCTTTAAACAGTTCGTGCGTCTGCGCAGCCACATTGTTACTCATGCAGATGATGCTCCCTTCAGGTGTCCTTACTGCAGAAAATACTTTTCAGAGGTAGATAAGCTCGATGAACACACGCGCTATCATATTGGGCACAAGGCTTTCAAATGTTCACACTGTCCAAAAATTTTTCCTCGTCCTAGCTTGCTCAAATCGCATCTTAAAACTCATAACAGTAAAATGGTTGAGAATTAAATTTAGGAAATTCCAAAAACCCAACCACAGTCAAATATAATCATAAATATATTGTTGTATATATCAATCATGGAGCAAAAATAAACAATATCATTAAAATGGTTTTATAATAAGATGTTATAATTGAGAACATTTTAAATTCTGAAAAGTCTATTTTGTGAACGATGTGAACTTATTTTCAGTTATATTGCGTTGATTGGCATAACGATTCATTTTGTTTATAATGTGACGATAAGTTCATTATCTTGGCATATTCTTCTAAATTTTCTAGTTCTTAATTTTGTTGATCTTGTTATAGATTTCGGTACTGCTTCAATTTATACTGACTTTATATTTATGACCAGCATAGGATATAGCAATAAACTCTTAACCTTAATTTTTTAAAAATTGCTATCATATATAGTTTCACTAGCTTCACTAACTGACAAATTATTTATTGTAACATCAAGGAAACTGAAATTTACAATTACATTTATATTTAATTATTGAAAACAAACAAGCAAACAGTAGTTTTGGTATTTTAGTTTCATACACTTTAAATCCACAATAGCCTCCGCCAAATCGAAAATTCGATATTTTTAATGATTCATCATCGATAGGTAGCAGCTATTATTCGCTTATCCACTAACCAAATAACATATAGACTGGACAAACCCTACTTTTGAGGGTGACATTCGATATTTCTGCGGCTGGTCCAAACTCGCCTTCGTTTTTGTTCGGGTTCGAGACATGCCCGCATGCTCTCAGAAGCAAGAGAGTAAGAATACATATGGCCTGTGTCGGGGAACGGCAACGCTGTCTTTTTACTCGCTCACTCTACAAGAAACTGCTGTGGCTTACTCTCATCCATATGATTTGTGCGATAGAACGGCATCGCTGTTTTTTATCTCGCTCCCACTACAGGAAACTGCTTTGGCTTACTCTCAATGCTCTTTCAATTTGTCTATGTACCGTTTAAATGTTTGTGTGTGTATTTGTCCGCACAAGCAAAAATGCGCCCAGAAATTCAATTTTTGTCAAAAGTCGGTGGCATATCTTCCCTTTTGAGGGGACGAGTAATATGAAATAATGAAAGGGTTTGCCCCGTCGATGCGAAATTCTTTCATTTTAGCTCGTTCTTCTTCGAAAGGGTACCTAAGCGTTGGCATGTGTGCATTTAAAAGTTTTTGGACTTGCTATTCACGCATACTTGCGTATTTTGTATATGAATAGAAGCATTTATGCGCTTGTGTGCCTGTTGGTCCCTGCCTGCCTGTCCGATGCAAATTTGGCAATATTTTTGGACTTCTGAATTTCGAGCTCTGCGCACACACACACAGAGACACAAATGTGTGTGAATGGGCTGATCATGGGCGCAAAATTTAAAAATATCATTTTTGGCACGCGTCTGATGCGCGCCCTTCTTTTTATGATTTAGGGCTTGAATTGATGAATGAATGTTGACCCCTTATTACCTGAGCACAGGAAAAACATGCTCAATCAGTTTGTTTTAATTTTAATAAGAAAGAATTGCAAGTGGTTAACTGAAAATATTGTTGGTGAATCGTCAAATTCAAAAAATGAAAAAGATTAATATTTTAAGACAATAAAATTATGAATACAATAAATATATAATCGCTCCTTTTTTGTATTTCGCATATTTGAATATTTTAAAGATTTTAATTTTTACACAAATTTCCGCTGGTCATAAAATTATTTAAGTGATCAGTCACTTGACCTACATATGCAGGTGCAGGTGTTTGCCAAAAGTTGACCCTTTCGGCCCAACGGGCTGCTGCAGGTAATAAGGGGTCAACATTCATTCATCAATTCAAGCCCTAAATCATAAAAAGAAGGGCGCGCATCAGACGCGTGCCAAAAATGATATTTTTAAATTTTGCGCCCATGATCAGCCCATTCACACACATTTGTGTCTCTGTGTGTGTGTGCGCAGAGCTCGAAATTCAGAAGTCCAAAAATATTGCCAAATTTGCATCGGACAGGCAGGCAGGGACCAACAGGCACACAAGCGCATAAATGCTTCTATTCATATACAAAATACGCAAGTATGCGTGAATAGCAAGTCCAAAAACTTTTAAATGCACACATGCCAACGCTTAGGTACCCTTTCGAAGAAGAAAGAACGAGCTAAAATGAAAGAATTTCGCATCGACGGGGCAAACCCTTTCATTATTTCATATTACTCGTCCCCTCAAAAGGGAAGATATGCCACCGACTTTTGACAAAAATTGAATTTCTGGGCATTTTTGCTTGTGCGGACAAATACACACACAAACATTTAAACGGTACATAGACAAATTGAAAGAGCATTGAGAGTAAGCCAAAGCAGTTTCCTGTAGTGGGAGCGAGATAAAAAACAGCGATGCCGTTCTATCGCACAAATCATATGGATGAGAGTAAGCCACAGCAGTTTCTTGTAGAGTGAGCGAGTAAAAAGACAGCGTTGCCGTTCCCCGACACAGGCCATATGTATTCTTACTCTCTTGCTTCTGAGAGCATGCGGGCATGTCTCGAACCCGAACAAAAACGAAGGCGAGTTTGGACCAGCCGCAGAAATATCGAATGTCACCCTCAAAAGTAGGGTTTGTCCAGTCTATATGTTATTTGGTTAGTGGCTTATCTCAAAGCGTTGACGATAGTTCACAACTATCGGAAATTCATCGTTAAGTATTATCGTTGTGCTGCACAACACGACAATCATGCTGTCACCACGTTATCTGCAAACTGGTAATTGCTTATATTTCATAAAAAACACTATAAAGGAAAGGGAATTCTGAGAAAAAACTACGTGGAATAGACATTATCCCCCAATTTTTTGGACATTTCTTATGTAGAGTGACAGAATATGTTCTTTGGTTAGTGCTAAAGCGAAGAATCACCGGTGCGCTTAGCCAATGAAAGCTTATCGATATTTTTTGATTTTGTCCATCTCTTGTTGTGGATATTGACTTACATCACTAAGCGTTAATAAAATCGTCAAATCGACAACAAGTTATTGCTATTTTCGTGTAAATAGCGTCCAAGACGACGCTTGCTTTATTTTTTTTTAATGAACTGCGCGAGTTAGATTGCTGAGTGTGCGTCAAACTTCGAGCAGTCTGCCTCTTTCTTGCTGCATGTGTATATGTTTGTTTAAATTAATGTAGAGCCCCAAGATGCATCTTTGTATGGATGCTGGTGTAGATTGTTGTCTCGCTCTCACTAGTTAAATGGGACCTCCTTTCCCGCCTCAGCATTCGCAAGGATAGGAACGTTTTCAGTTGACAAAAAGCTACTCAAAGGAGCTTTTTTCATTGCTTCTTCAACTGAAAGACGCGATTTATTTGACGAACAAACGCCAAGAAAGCGATGATCGATAAAAGACGAAGTGGTGTCAAGTGCATTGTTAAATCGTGCAGGCGTAGCTACAGGAATGGCTCTCCGGTGAAAATGTTTCGGTTTCCCAAAAAGGAGAGCCTTCGTCGCCAATGGATTGAAAATTGTGGTTTACCTCACGATTTTAATATGCGTGCGTTTATTTGCGATTTACATTTTGAAAAAAAGTCCATTGGCAAAAAGTTTTTAAAATCGAATGTAGTCCCCACTCTGAATCTGTTTGACCCTTCGGACTCCAATATAGACATTTCTAAGGAATTGGATAATATTGACGAAATCACGATTTGTAGCGAAGACGACACAATCGAAGATATTTCGGTATTTACAAATAAATATATGACGAACTTAAACATTTGTATGTTTAATGATAACATATGCTAGATTTGCAGGAGCTTCGTGGACACAACACCAGCTGCGGAAGTATGCCGTGCTTGCATGACCAGCTCAGTGGCACTCGTGGATATCTTCGCCGATCAGAGGCAACCCAGTCTGGCAGATATGCTAAACGACTGTGTCGCCTCCATCTCAGTCCAACGAAACGATGAGCTACCGCAGAAAATGTGCCTCTCGTGCATTTGTGATCTGCAAACGGCATTTGCATTCCAGCGCAGGTGTGAGGAAAGCCACCAGAAGTTACGCGACAATCTAAATAAAAATAGGATGGTATCCACAATAAACATGGAAATGCCAGAGGAAGACATAGAGATAGTTCGGCTCAAGATGGAAATAGACGAATTGTTGAGCACTGGGGATCAAATGGAATTCATGCCTGAAGATGAATGCAAAGCAGATACCCATGATATTTGTACACCCATAAGTATTTTCAGTTCTCGGGATGTTAATACTATAAGCGCCTTTAGCTCCAATCAAAGACAGTCTAGCCTTCTGATGGATAGCACAAATCTAAGCAACAGCGAGATTAATGTCCGGTCCGAGCTACTTGAAATAGAAAACTGGGAGCTGGCCGAGCAAGGTTATGAAATAGGCTGTACCGAAGTAGTAAAGGATACAGAAGATATCATTAAGGAGCAACAAACTGAACTAAGCTCAAAGAGCTACGAAGAATGCACCGTGGAGCACAATTCTCTTGCTGTTGACGAGCCTAGAGTAGATGCTACAAAAAATGAACTTAAATGCCCTCACTGTACTAAAGTCTTTCTGCATAAATCTTACCTCGATATTCACATTCGTACGCATACGGTCGAACGACCGTATCGGTGTCTTCACTGCTCCCAAGCATTTAGCATGTTCGCCGGTCTGCGCTTACACATCCTTACTCATGAAGGGAAAAATGCCTTTAAGTGTCCTCACTGCAGAAAATACTTTTCAGACAAGGTCAAACTCGATCAACACACGCGCTATCATATTGGGCACCAGGCTTACAAATGTCTACACTGTCCAAAAATCTTTACTCATTCTTCAAATTTTAAAGACCACATTAGAATTCATCTCGCAAATAACAGTAGCGCCCACTCTGAACGGGTTGAAAAAGGAAACTGTGAGCTGGCCGAGCAAGATAATGAAATAGGCTGTACCGAAGAAGTAAAGGATAGTGAGGAAACCATTAAGGAGCAACAAACTGAAGTAAGCTCTAAGAGCTTCGAAGAATGCAGCAAGAAAAAGAATAGATACTCGTGCCCACAATGTCGAAAAGCTTTTATGTATAAATCTACCCTCAAACGTCACCTTCGTACGCATACGGGCGAACGGCCGTATAAGTGTCCACACTGCCCCAAAGCCTATCGACTTTTCACGGGCTTGCAATCACACGTCTTTACTCATGAAGGTAAAACTGCCTTCAAGTGTCCTCACTGCAGAAGATACTTTTTAGAGAAAGCCAAACTCGATGAGCACATGCGCTATCATATTGGGCGCCAGGCTTACAAATGTCCACAGTGTCCAAAAATCTGTACTGCTTTTGTATATCTCAAAAAGCACATTAGAACGCATACCGTAGAGAAAAGCGAAGAGCTTGATCCCATTGCTGTTAACAATCCTATAATGGAAGCTAAAAATGGCCAATTTATGTGCCCACATTGCCCCAAAACATATAAACTGTCCTGGAATCTGCGCATACACCTCCTTACTCATGAAGGGAAAACTGCCTTCAAGTGTCCTCACTGCAGAAAATACTTTTTAGAGAAGGCCAAACTCGATGAACACACGCGCTATCACATTGGCCGCCGGGCTTTCAAATGTCCACACTGTCTAAAAATCTATACTAATCCATCATTTTTTAAAGACCACATTTTAGCTCATACCGCAGATAACAGTGAGCCAAATGTCCAATCTGAACGGGTTGAAATAGAAAACTCGGAGCTGGCCGAGCAAGATAATGAAATAGGCTGCAGTAAAGAAGTAAAGGATACAGAAGATAACATTAAAGAAAAACAAACTGAACTAAGCTCAAAGAACTACGAAGAATGCACCGTGGAGAGAGAGAAAATTTGTAACCGTCTTGCTGTTAACGAGCCTAGAATAGATGATAAAACGAAACAATTTATATGCCCACATTGCCCAAAAGCCTATATGAATGAGTCTTCCCTCAAAACTCACAGTCGTACGCATTCGGACGAACCACCACTTCAGTGTCCACACTGCCCCAAAACCTTTAGAAATTCCTCAGCTTTGCGCTCACACATCTTTACGCATGCAGGTGAGACTCCCTTAAAGTGTCTTTACTGCAGAAAATACTTTTTAGAGAAAGCCAAGCACGAAGAACACACGCGCTATCACGTTGGGCCCCGGGCTTACAAGTGTCCACACTGTCCAAAAGTCTGTAATCTTAGAAATTTGACAAAGCACATTAAAATTCATGCCAAGAAAAATGTTAAGGAATAATATTTAGGAAATTCCAGAAAGACAACCACACTCAAATATATTATTATGTGTATTATGTATGTTATATATTATATATGTGTATATACAGTGTAAATGGTCGTTTGTGGACAGCAATGATCGAGCAATTTCTGTCCGCTTAAGAGGAGTACAACGAAAGACAAACAATATCATTAAAATGGTTTTAAAATAAGATGTTGTAATTCATAATTTTATAGGTTCCTAAATTTTAAGAGTCTATTTTGCATATGGTTTTCTAAATTAGTTAAATGTTCAAATGCGATGTGATCGTTTTTTAAAAATTGCTTTAAATTTGCAATGTATATTAAAGCGCTTTTAACTGTGTTTAGCTCACAAGAAACTTCAGACACAAGATCGGTATCCGTATTGCTGTTGTCGTCAATTACAAATACCGTATCGCTACTATCAATTTCAGTTTCTAAAAACTGATGAACATCTAATGGGTTCACATCAGCAGATTCTCTTGGCTCACATCGAGAATTAATGTTGTGTCGCTTGCGCCACCTTTGGAGCCAACCGTTAGAGGCGGCAAAGTCGTCAATTCCAAGGGTCGCAGCGATTTCTTTCGCTTTCTCTTGAATAGCTGAGCCAGATATTGGCGTATTTGGACTTCTTGCTTTACAAAACCAATCGTAGCACATGGAGTCGAGTTTTTTGCCGTCTGCATTCAGGAAGCTTCTTTTCGTATTGATGTTTTCACCGGATAACCATCTCGACCGAATCGTTTCCCTGTCACGAACAATGAGCGCAGCTTGTGTTTTTCCTATGTTAAACCTGTAAACGAATATATTTATAGTTTAATTTTTAGTTAATTTTCTTTGCATATAGTTCTACCTTTTAGCTAATGCACGCACTGGTGAATTATTTTGATCATACGCGCTTATAACCTCCATTTTTTCCTTTAAACTAAGCACTTTTTTCCTTTCCATTCTGATGTTTTTAATATTCATTATTTGAACAAATACTGAAAACACATTATTCGGGGAGATCCCGAAATTTATTTTCGCCTTTTTATGTCATAATGTGCCTCGTTTTTGTTGCTAAAGGATTTCCTAAAGGTGTATAGTCCGCTTCATATTACAAGAGGGTCCAAGAGCTCAAATTGACAGATATTCGTTTAGTTGGCTCACTTAGACAGCTCGTTCACTGAGGACTATTCACACATTAATCAACATCTTATTTAAAATTGTGAACAAATTGATTTTTGTTTTGTTTTTATTCTGGCATATGTATACGCTGTGTTTATCATTAGTGATGTCAACAATCGTGGCATACATTTGGAAATTCGATAGTTCTTGAGATGGTCCATCTTTTGTTATTATTGAACTCGATACCTTAGAATTATTGTATATATTGCTAGCTTATAGCTCTCACCGGTGTATTTATAGTTATTGTAATAAAATATAAAATTAAATATTTTAAATTGCTATGGCACTTGATTTCATCCATAAAATTGCGCGCACTTCCAACAAATAGTTTTCAAATCGTTTTTGCTTTAGCCTGTCGTGCGATACTTTATGCTTATCATCTGTAATATAACATCGATATGTCAACTATCGCGACATATTCTTGAAAATTCGATAGTTCTTGATTTTGTCCATCTTTTGTTGTTGTTGAATTGTAATTAATATGTATACGGTAGTTTCGCTGACATTTGGTGCAAACATTAGCCATGGAACAAGTATGCCGCACTTGCATGACCAGCTCAGTGGCACTCGTGGATATATTCACCGATCAGAGGGAACCTAGTCTGGCAGCTATGCTAAACGAGTGTGTCGCCTCGATAAAGATAGAACTGAATGATGAGCTGCCGGAGAAAATGTGCCTCTCGTGCATTTGTGATATACAAACGGCATTTGCATTCAAGCGCAGGTGCGAGAAAAGCCATCAGGTGTTAAGCGAAAAGCTTAAGAAAAGTAAAATGATGAGTGCAATAAAGGTAGAAATGCCAGAGGAAGGCATAGACCTGGGTCGGGTTAAGATGGAAACAGACGAGTTGTTGAGTACTGGGCACAAAATGGAATGCAAACCTGAAAGGGTATGCCAAACAGAAGTCCATGACAATCATATATCCACAAGTGTTTTCAGTATTCGGGAAATTGATAGCTCCAATCAAAGGGCACCTAGCATTCTGCTGGATAACGCAAAACAAAAGAACAGCGAGCTAAATGTCCAGTCCGAGCTGCTTGAAACAGAAAACTGGGAGCTGGCGGAGCAAGACATAGATCTAGGCCATGTCAAAGTAGAAAAGGATAGCGAAGATTACATTAAGGAGCAACAAACTGAACCAAGCTCACGGAGCAACGACAAATGCACCGAAGAAGTTTTCAATCCTATTCCTGCCGACGAGATGTCTTCTGGCGTAGATACGAAAAAAGGCCAGTTTTTATGTCCACACTGCAAAAAAACGTTTACGCAAAAATCCCACCTCAATGCACACATTCGTACGCATACGGGCGAACGACCATTTCAGTGTCCGCACTGCTCGAAAGCGTTCAGTCAGTCGTCGAATCTTCGCAAACACATCAGCATTCATTCGGGCGAACGTCCCTTTAAGTGTCCCCACTGCCTGAGAGCTTTTATGCGGCACACGGATCTTCAGTATCACGTCTCCACGCATCCAGGCAAACAAATCTACAAGTGTCCGCAGTGCACAAGATACTTTATAGAGGAGGCCGAGCTCGAGGAGCACATGCGGTATCACAACGGCGAGCGGACCTACAAGTGCAAAGAGTGCTCCAGGGAATTTGTCTACGCCTGGCAACTGCAGCGGCACATTCGAACGCACACGGGCGAGCATCCCTTTAAGTGTCCGCACTGCCCGAAAAATTGCATAGACAAAGGAGATTTGGGCAGACACATACGCTCCCACACCGGCGAGCGTCCGCACAAGTGTCCACACTGTCCAAAAGCCTTCACTCGGGCTGCCTATCTCAAAACGCACATTAGCACTCATGCCGAGAGTTCGTGTTAACATTTGTATATAAGGGAGATCATCTTTAGAAATATATATAATATAATATATATATAAAATAATAAATATATATAATATAATATATATATATAATACTCGACTCAAATGTAGATATTGATTTGTATATATTAGTATTTATTCACATAGATAAGAATTAAATATTAAGTTTGCCTACTTATATTTAAATGTATATAATAAAAACATTAAAAAATGTTGAATTTTCTCCATCGATATAAATCAGGTTTTTTCGATGTTGCTACCCGAATTTTATTATAATACGTCAGCAGCTATTTTATTACATTTACATACAAGGAGTTTCCAACGAGCAATAACGTAATTAAATTAAATTCAATTGCCTTTTAAAGTACATTCAAAAACAATTAATTCGATTGCACCTCGTGAGCTTAATAAAAGTATCGATACATTATAATCGGTAATAAGCATCGATAAAGTTCATGCGATAGCTGGAGAAGAAAAAGTGTTGGCAATTGATTGCATTCAACGAATCTATGATTTTTTATGCCTGCACGTAACGAAAACAAATATAGCAACTTCTAAATGGACTCCAGATTGGATGTAAGTACTTAAAGCAAACGATCGCCATCAATTGGCAATGAATATTTATTGTTTCCAACTTATTGATAGATGTTTGAGGACGTCAACACATCGCCCTCCCTGGAGGGTGACATGTCCATACCGGGTAAACGGACCACAACGACAACAGCACAGAACGGTGTGCCCGAATACAATACCCTGGACGAACCCATACGCGAGACGGTGCTGAGGGATATGCGCGCTGTTGGCATCAAGTTCTATCATGTGCTCTATCCCAAGGAGAAGTCGAGTCTGCTGCGCGATTGTACGTCATCAGGTGCAGCAGTTGTGTGCGTCAGCAATTTTTAACATGTGTGCGCTTTCTGTTTACAGGGGATTTGTGGGGTCCATTGGTGCTGTGCACATTCATGGCCACCATACTGCAAGGCTCCTCGTCTGCCGACAGCATGTCCGACAATGGACCAGAATTCGCCCAGGTCTTTGTGATTGTTTGGATAGGCGCCGCCATCGTAACGCTCAACTCCAAGCTTCTAGGTGGCAATATGTAAGTATATCTAAAAACGGGAAAGAACTGATATTTTCTGCATGCCGAAGTGTGGGTACCCTTGTGGACAATCGGCTTACCCAAGATAATTATGAAAAGCAAAATATTTTGCAGTTCAAATATCATTTTTCGTCTGGTTCTGTCTGTCTATGTCTGCTTTATAACATATCTTCCGATATGGAAAGACTAGTCAAGATATTCTACAGTTCTTCATGCAAGAACTTATTCCGCTTATCAAATTATCTCAACAAACAAAAGAGTTCATACACGAACTTAATAATACACGAATATATTTGATCCGATCTGGCTTTCATGATAACAAACAGACAAAAGACATGGCTATATCATCTATGCTGTTAATACTGAATACAAACACATATTGCATCAGGTCGGAGACGTCTCCTATGCTTTACACACTTTATGACAAAATTATTATACTCTTTCTCAACATAAAAATATTTTTCTGTACCGCACAGCTCGTTCTTTCAATCGGTTTGTGTGCTCGGCTACTGCCTGACGCCGGTGGCGCTGGCTTTGATCATCTGTCGCATCATCTTGCTGTCCACGCAGACACGTTTTCTCTTCTTTTTGCGCTTTGTAACCACAACGCTCGGCTTTGCCTGGGCCACGTATGGTAAGTTGCCCTGAAGTACATGTTGTTCATAATAAAATAATATAATTTCATTTAATTTCGCAGCATCGTTCATCTTTCTGGGCCAAAGTCAACCGCCGCATCGCAAGCCGCTTGCCGTGTATCCCATATTTCTGTTTTTCTTTATCATATCATGGCTAGTCCTATCCCATAATTAGTTATTAGTTTTAGTTTATAAACTGAACCGCAACTTTCCATAGCATAACCAAATCGATTGTAAATTTATGTATTTAATTTGAGAAATTGTGTACAAATTGGTTTTTTGATTTATTTTATTTACTTTACTCTTAAGATCTTACAAATTATATATATATATATATGTGCATATATGTTTGGTTAACTCTGGCCGCGCTACACATCCAGGCTGTTGGCCGACGTGGCCACCTCCAGGGACATTTGCATTTGGACGCCATCGCCCTTGGTGGGGCGATAAGTCAACGAATTGGCGCGCGCCTTGCGGCCCATAAAATGCCGTTCCACCCACTTGAGCAGCGTGTAAACGGAGTCAGTCGATGGCAAGCGATGATCGGCGGCGGTCTTCACAATATCCGACGAGGTAACGCGGAACGTGCGCGCCATACCCTTCAGTGCCTGTGAAGAGTATCGATTAGTGTGTTTGCCAATGTCTCACCATAGATGACCTCTAGGCCCAGCTACTTACCACCATGGCATCCTCATCGGTGTTATCGTCGCCCACATAGATGATCTTGATGCGTTCGTTCCAGTCAACGCCAAAGGACGTGCGCAATATGTAAATGGAGGCGCGACCCTTGTTCCACTGCACCGGCGGACGCGCCTCGAGCGCGCAATGCGCCTCCGTTGCCCTGAAGCCGTACTTCTCGATCAGGCTGCGCGCCTTGTCAACCATATCGGGACGCAGCTGTGTGGGCGTCTCACGATAATGGAATGTCAGCAGCGATCCCTTATTCTCCACCCAGGCGCCGTCGCGACACACCGAATCCTGAAGCGCCTTGAGCAATAGGCTGACCTTATCCTCGTACTCAATGGGCATGGGATGCACAAACTTGCTGCCATCGGGATGCAGAATCTCCAGACCATGGTTACCCGCATAGGTGATGCCCTCGATGCCGACCATTTTCTTGACATTATCGACATTGCGACCCGAAATGACGGCCACATAGACATCCGAGTGATTGGAGAGCTTGAATAGAACGTTCTTAATCTCGGGCGATAGCGTGGCCAAATCCGGATGCGGCGCAATTGGCGCCAGAGTGCCATCATAGTCCAGCAACAAGGCCAGCTTGTGATTATAGCCGATGTATCTAAGGCGAGAACAAAGATTGGAGTAAGTGCAGCCAAGTGGCAGGGCAAGGATTAAGTTGACTCACTTGAGTAAGTAGTCATCGAAGTCATCCACTGAGACCGGCTGCATAATGGTGGTGCCCACATCGTCCATCTCGAGAGCGCCCACCGCCTTCAGGAAGCAGCGCATCCAATGGCTAACATCGCATTCGGCCTCGCGGCGACGGAGACGCGCCATGCGCAGCACACGCTCATCCTCGGGCATGGTCAGCGCACGATGTATGACCTCGGCGGCCTCGTTCACCTCGTACGGATTGCAGAGCAGCGCCTCGTGCATCATTTCGCCGGCGCCGGCAAATGGTGAAATGACCAGCACGCCGGGCACCTCGTTTATCTGGCAGGCGACAAACTCCTTGGCCACCAGATTCATGCCATCGCGCAGCGGCGTCACCAGGCAAACGGCCGCATCCCGATACAGGGCGGCCAGCTCATCCTGGCTCACATAGTCGTAGATATAGCGTATGGGCGCCCAGTTGGCGGTGGTAAAGCGTCCATTGATGCGTCCGACCAGCTGATCGACCTCCTCCTTGAGCTCGCGATACTCCTTGACATCGGTACGCGACGGCACCGAGATCTGCAGCAGGCTGACCTTCTCCTTGTGCTGCGGATACTTGAGCAGCAGCGCCTCGAACGCCATCAGGCGATGCACCAGACCCTTCGTATAGTCCAGCCGATCGACGCCCAGAATAATCTGTTGCTTGGACGTCTTCAGCACCTTGGGCGCATTCTGGGCAAGATTAACGAAGCGCTCGTAGGGTATGCCAATGGGCAGTGGTCGGATGCGCACGGTGCGTCCGCCGTGTTCCACCAGCAGATTGTTGCGATCTACACGACAGCCCAGATTGCGCTGACAGCAGTCGACAAAGTTCAGGCAATAATCCTGTATATGGAAGCCGACCAGATCGCAGCCGAGCATGCCCTGCAGTATCTCATCGGACCAGGGCAGCAGGCGGAAGATGTCCCACGGCGGAAAGGGTATGTGCAGGAAGAAGGCCAAGCGACACGGCAAATTCTTCTCCTCGGCATGCTCACGCACCCAATTGGCGGCCAGCATCAGATGATAGTCGTGTATCCACACGATTGGCGGATTCTTTTCGCTGCCATTGTTCTTCGCCAGACACTTCTCCAGGGCCTCGATGGTGCGCAGCGCAAAAAACTTGTTCACGGTCACATAGTCGTGCCAGTGCTCGCCGCCAAAGTTGGCGCGGCCCGGCATCGAGTGGAAGAGCGGCCAGAAGATCTTGTTGCAGCAGCCGTTGTAGTAGCTATCGAAGATCTTTGCATCGATGTTTACCGAAACAACCTGATCGGACTTCAGGCCAGCCGTCGGCGTTTGATCGTACGGATTCGATTCGGGTATGGCCTCATTGGGATCCTCCAGATGTATGCCCGACCAGCCCACCCATAGACCGCCGCCCTTGATCACCACCGGACAGACGGCCGTAACAAGACCGCCGGCGCTGTAAAACAAAGGCCAGTCTTTAGTGGAAGAAGTAAGTATATATGTATATTAAACTTGTCCTGGTTGATTGATTGACTGATGGAGTGGTTGACTGACTGGCTGACTGATTGATTGACTGATTTATCTTGCTGGTGAGCTGACAGTCTGACTGATTGATTGACAGTCAGACTAAATTTGAGTGACTGACTGACTGATTGATTGACAGTCAGACTGGCTGATTGATTGAATTTTAGACAACTGACTGACTGATGTGTCCGACTTCCGGGCTAGCTGATATTCGAACTGACTAACCAATTGATTGACAGGCTGACAAACTGATTGACTGACTCATGTCTCTCACTGATTGATTGACGGACCAACTGATTGATTGCAATTTTGATGGTCGAACTGACTGAATAACAGGTAGACAAACTGATTGACTGGCTGATATCTCTCACTGATTGATTAACGGACTGACTGATTGATAGAATTATTGACCGACTAATTGACTGATATGCCTGACTGACGTGCTGACTAATTGACTAACTGACTTACTGATTGATTGATATGAAATAATGATTTACTGACCGACTGATTAATATGTTGAGTGATAGACTAACTGGTTGAATGATTGACCGGAACTTTTTCAAGCTATTTTTATCAATCTCTGTACACTGATAGGATAGGAGAAAATTTCTCTCGAAGTAATGAAAAATTGAAATACAGGTATGAGGAACCTTTTATTTTTCCTCCGATCTCCCTTAAATTATTTTTGCAACGATCTATGTAAAATTGCATTGACGACGCTTTCCGGAAAATTCTCGCCGCCCGGCTAGAAATGGCACGGGCAAGGCCGGGCCACATAGGCAGGTATATATATATATATGTATATATATGCCTATACTTGTATATATGCAAAAAGAGATTCAGTCCCAGCCCCGTTTTATGCAGGGTGCATCACAATGACACTGACACTAACCGCACTGATAAGCAACAAACCATAAAAAACAGCGCCTGTGCCTGATACGCTGCAAGTGTAAACAACCTCGACGCTGGCCCAGAGGCCAATACCAAAAAAAATAAATATATATATATATTACTCGAAAATCGAGTTCCCAAATTCGAAATCCTAGCCGCACGCAGCTTTTTGTGTGTGGGGAGGGTCAGTGCGAGTGTGACTAAAGTTGTGCACGTGATTTTGATATTTTTTCAGTGTCAGGTTCGCAGCTCTACGTCGTTATGGAAGCCTTGAAATGACGCCTCTATTATTGACCCCTTTAAGGCGAACGTTGTCTCGCCTTCGTCGTCGTCGCCGTTCTCTTTGGGCGGGGGTTAGGGGTCAAAGCCGCGTTATGGGCCCCGCTGATAAGGGCAGTCGGTATTATTGAATTTGTTTTCTAATTTCATTACATTTCCATCCAATTTGCTAGACTTTGCATTCCGTTTGCTCATCCCAAATACCTCCCCACTCCACACACCCCTCCCGCCCTCTCTCTCCGGCTCTCTCTCCCTCTCTCTCTCTGTGTATTTTGCGCTGATAAGACGCTGGCAGCCTTATAGGGCACTAATCACCAGAAGCGTGTGGAAACAATATCATCTCCATATATGTATATATATAAATGTATATATATGGACCGTCACATAGGTAATTCGGTTCCCTATCGAGGGGGCTTTACTCTGCGGCTTATCTTTGATGCAAATTGTATGCCCAATCACATGAACTGGGTTAGTTTTTGAAAATAGAAGAACAATTTGGGAAAGTTTACTTTAGCTTTCAAGCCTCGCTCTTGTCACGAGATTTTGATAAGTTTTGTTCCATGGAAACATTTGTTTTATAGTATATTATTAATCTATTGAGTGGATTATGGCTTTGTTTTTTTTTCGGACTAACGGACAGGACTGTACTCGTACAATGAACTTTTACCGTTCAATTGCTTTGCTTGCAGTGTTGGAAAGTCACTTGAAAAGTTTTCAATCAGTGAAAAGTTTTCATTTGTGCATTTTCTATTTAGTTATACTTCAGCCAAATGGTTAATCCAAAAAGGTTAATACCTTAATAAAACTTCTTAATATTTAACTTTTACGTTTCTTTTCATAGAAAAATGTACAGTCTCAAAATTTAGACACTTTGTTCTTATTGGACTGCAAAAAGTCCTTAATTTTATTCACTTTTTGTTTTGTATAGATTTTTATTAAACACACAAGCTCGTAAGCTTTTAAAACTTAACTCGATTTGGAATTCAGGTCTGATTGAAACTTCTTTACTAAGAACGAGCCACACTATTTGTACACACAATTGGTTCAAAAACTTTTTGGAAAACTTAAAAAAAATATTCAATTTTTTAATTTTTTTGCTTTTAAATGAAAATTAAGTTTTGTGACTCTTTAATTTTAAACATATTAAACGAAAAAGGGATTCTTTTATAAATGTTAAATTGAAAATAATATTGGGTAAAATGTGTTGAACCAAGGCTCTAAAAAATCCTGACTAGATCCTAAAATTTAATTTTTCGAACCATAGAAGACTTGGACCATTAACCATTTTCGTTTTAAGAATTTATGAAATATATATATAGATATATATTATAAGGCCGGTTTTGAACTGACGCGATTTAAGTCCAGACCTTTAATTTAGTATTCACCATTAAACGAATCATCAAAACCGGATTAGCTGAGAACCATTTTTAAACCAAAAAGCGGGTTCACGAATCGAATTTCGAGGTGAACCGGAAACCCAACATTTTTATTGGGTTTGCAGCCTTGATGTATTCAGTTATCACTTTTAAGAACCAAATTCGAATGACATTGTCTCACTTTTTGTTGTGCTCAGTTTTAACCAAGTTCCTTGGACACAATCTCCAACTATTCTCATGCCACAAAAAATAAATTAGTTAAATGCTTTGATAACTCACCTGGCTCTGCGTTCGAGTTCCTTAGTTTTGGGATTGCGTATCAGGACAAACGGCAAACGGTTGGAGACAACAATCAGACTGGCCTTGGTCGAGGGCTCCCCGGCATTGGTCACAATGATCTCCGTGTCGGGCATTTTTTTCTTTTTGTTGTCGATTTCAGTTGAAGATCTGGATACTATACGTAGCGTAGAATGAAAACAATGCACACGAATAAATATCACTTGGAGTCTTAGCACAGTTTTAGGACAGGATGTGGGGTACGGCTAAAGGGTACGGCTATAGGGTACGGCCAAAGGGAACAGCTGTAGGGTACAGCTAAAGAGTACGGCTGTAGGGTACGGCTGTAGAGTACGGCTGTAGAGTACGGCTGTAGGGTACGGCTGTAGAGTACGGCTGTAGGGTACGGCTGTAGAGTACGACTCTTGTGTATGGCACCTTATGTTCGGGCCTTGGACTTGTTTGCGCTGCGAGGTTTGGCTAACAACTAATTGGGCTGATGCACTGGCTGTCTGGGCTCTGGGTCTGGGTCGCGTCGAGAGATGCAACGAGCTTGACGTCTGTGTGGACGTTGCTTATCAATGAGACGCTTCTATCTATCTCTATACGTATATATACATATATGTACGGACGGACAATGCGAACGCTTACCGTGCTGCAGTGTAGGCAGGTGGACACTCTGAGAGCGAGGGAGCACGCCGCCAAAAATCAAGCCAAACCAAGCACCAATTTAATGCTCCGTACACGTTTCGGTTTCTTTGACCTATAAGTCCAAACTGCGATTCGCGTGTGTCTGGAAAAACTGTGTGTCTCGTTGTGTTTTTCCGGCTGGCTTTTGAGCTGTCGTCGATTGCCGATTTCTCGCGGTAGCCAGCTAGCTCCGTACTCTGCCAAAAATAGACGAGCACTAATGCCAATCTCTCGCTCAACTGGCATTTTTCTTCAAAAAAATTAAATGTTTATGTGCGTTCTCAGGTTCCACAGAGTCCACAGAAAACATGGCTTATCAGAAAAATCATCGTTCAGTTCCATTCTATAATCTATCTATACGACGCAGCGCATTATGTATATGCGAAAGCGTGCCGCCACAAAGACGGCTTGCTGGAAGATTCACTAGAATTCCAAAAGATATTCTACGTAGATTTGTTGGAGACTAGTTATGGCTTTTCACTTCTCAAGTTGGCCCGAAGCTCAAGGAGTACTAAACTTAACAAGGGATCAAAACTAGGCTTAGGTATTCTGGTTTTAACCGGCTGTGTCCGGTTTTATCAGCCCGACAGCGTTTGTCTTTGAGAGCGATAAGTCAACAAGTCGTTATTCTTGTTGTTTGCGTAGTTTTTGTACACATAAATGTTTTTTTGTTCTTCTATATTTAGACTTAAATCTGCACTTGGCTGCAACAATGCATCGCTTAACCCTAGCTTCACCTTGTCGTAACCTTAGATTCAACAATTAATTGACCATTAGCGCATTTAACGCTCAGTTTGATAGTTAGTACAGAGATGGAAAGGAGAGAGAGAGAGCCAAAGCTGATAAGAGATGCTTGTGCTGTGCAATCGTTTGCATTGTTTATGCAATGCATTGAAGATTTAGATTTGGCTAATTACGTAGGGATTAGGTACAGTCTCTCTCTCTCTCTCTCTCTCTCGCTTACTCTCTAAGCATTGGTGAACTTGAACGCTTGATCATGTCTGGCATTCATGCGCTTATCATGACGCCAAACCCAACGTTGACGTGATTTGCAATAACATTTTAGAAAATCAAAGCTTAGTCATGTGCAATGCTGCATCTGATAACCCGTTCAAGGGTCGTTTCAATCTATTTATTTATACTTTGATTTAATTGATGGCGACATTTGTCTTTTGACGCAAGTTCTATTTTCATTCGCGCAGCAATTACAATTTCAAATGCCCCAAAAAAGTAACGGCCTTTCCGCTGTGCCTCAACTGCCATAGCAAGCAGCTTTTGTCGGCCATCTATCGATCGCATTTATCGGCGCGCTTATTACCAATATCGATAACTTTTCTTTCGCATTGTTGGATTTGCTTTGGCATTAACAGCTAGTAAAAATGGATCCCTCAATTATTGAGTTTATTGGCGAGAAGTCCATGATTAGCATAATACCCAATTTCTCCAATGAACCGCTACATCTAATTTATGGCTCTGTGGGTCCATTTCGTGCCGGGTTTCCCGTGTATGTGCCACTGTGGCTGGCGACGCACTTGCGAAAGCAACAAAAGTGCCGCATTGTGCCGCCAGAATGGATGGAGCTGGAAACGCTGGAGGAGATTAAGGAGGAGGAGAAGCGTTCCAAGTGAGTTGCCATTTCTTGTTATGCGACAAAACTAAATGAATGTCAACTGTCTGCGATTAGATTCTTCACAAAGATGCCCAGCGAGCATTACATGGTGGTGGCCCAGCTGGTCATGAGCACGGCACCAGATGATGTGCCACGTTGCGAGGAGTTGCGCACAATTATCAAGGACATTTTCGACATACGCGAATCGAAGCTGCGCACCTCGATCGATGCGTTCATCAAGGGCGAGGGCACCTACGCCAAGCTGGACAATTTGACGCTGCTGGAAATACACAGTGTGCGGCCAATTCTGCCCTATTCCCTGGATCACATAGCGCGCTATCAAAGAACGGCCACTGCATCGCAGCGGGATACTTCCATGCTGGGATTGAGCACAACGGGCGGCGGCTCGGGCACGGGCACGGGCACGGGCACGGGCTCCATGAGCAATTCCTTTCTCACGCAGTAATGTTTGACTGTGATACGTAAGTTTAAGTTAATCATATGTACAATAAGGTATAAACAACAAAGGAAGTTAAGGGTTATGCTTGGCAAGCTCTGTTGAGGTTACAGAGACGGCTTCTTCTGCTGCTGGGGTAGATTTTGTTCGCTTAAAAAATATATTAAAATGCAGATCAAAATTAGTATTTCAAATATTTGAAAAGTTGGTTAGTCAGGGAAGCTGTTAGAAGAGGCTTCACTGTAGTACATTGCGGCGGTTGCCCTTAGCCGTTTTTCAATTATAATTTCGCATTTTAAATATTACTTTTTTATTTTTTACAATTATGTATAAGAATGCAATTTAATTATGCGTTTGGTGCTGATTCGGGATGTATTCTTTTGACATGTCTGCACAGGTTATCCCAACGAGGGGTTACAAACTTGCAGCCAGAGATAATGCAGACATGCAGAATGACCCCGTCACTGGGATTCTCCATATGCTTGACAATGTGTCGCTTAATGTTGTAACAACGATTCGTGCGATAGCTGCAGGTGTTGCACGCATACGTTTTAGTTTTGCCCTTCTGGTAGTTTCTTCTGAAAATGTTCCGATATTAATTATGATTTCAAATTGTTTTGGAAATGTGGTAAAGTGTGCTTACTTTGGCTTGCCAATGCTTGGCTTTTTTATTTTGGATTCCTTATTCGAATTAGTTGGTTCGGCTGTAGGCGCTGGAAACTCATCAATTGATTCCGCATGCTCGTCAGATGGCATTGATGATTGGTCATAGTCTGCAATTGACGCCAGATCCTCTTCATCGAGTTCATACTCTACACTTGCCACGGATGCCAGATCCTCTTCGCTTGGCATCGGCTCCCCCTCATCACTTGGCACTGGCTCCTCTTCATCGCATGGCATTGCTGCGGCGGCATCCTCATTACTTGTTACTGTTGTTGAGTCCTCAATTCGTGGCTTTTTTACACCATGTAGTCGTTGCATGTGTCGATTAAGATTATCCCAGCGCAATGTTGAGAAGGAGCAGCCCGCAAATGGACAGATATGCTGCAGCTCCTTGGGGGGCTTCTCGTAGTGATTGACCAGATGGCGTTGCACATTATAGGCGCGATTTGTCTGATAGCTACACTTTGAACATTTATATATTTTAATCGACTTGGGCGCCTTCTTTGGTCCAATCACTATCACTTCATCTTCCATGTTGCACAGTTTTTAGTTGGAGCTAAAAAGAAGCATCGAGATTAATGGGAATAGCCCGCTCCAGCTGCACAAAATGTAAACATACCTCCAATTGTTACAGATTAAAAAAGACTGCAGATGCGGGCATTTATTGATACTTGCTCATTAAAACGCCCACCAGGAAAAATTAATTTTATAAATATATATGTTTTCCTTTATTTGTTAATAAAATTCAAACAGCTGTGCACAATGTGACCGCATTGCCGACAGCAGCTATATTTTTGGAGGGTGCTGCCAACTTGTTGCGAAAAAAATGCACAACAAATTTAGTTTCGAGGCGAATGGCAAAGCGAAAAAATGGCGCGTAAACGGGACAGTGCAAAATTTGTTAAGTGCAGAAAACCAATAAGAAAACGTTTTAAATAACATATCTATTCAACTTAATTGCGTGAAGTTTACCAATAAACGGTTGAAAGTTATGCAATTGTTAGTCTGTCTGATGCTGGGTGCACTATTTTCAATGTGCTTGCACAAGTGATCCCATCGAAAAAACTATAACTAGAAATTACGCAAACATGTAGTAAAAGTTGTGTCAAGTGCCGTGGAATATAATAACACGAAAAGCGTGGTAAGTGCGTTTCGGGCATGAATAAGATTTTGACTTGGCCTTTTTGGGACTTTCCTCACATATTCCTTTAAAGTGAACCCAATGCAATGCTGCGGAATGAACAGCCGGCATTTGTGCAAATGAGTTGCACTTTTGGGAGTCTTTTAAAGTGTTGGGTGTTTCACTCACAGCCCTTTATCAATTTTTGTATTCATTACAGGTAAAAATTGCAGATGAAGGGCAGCCAAGTGAAGGAAACAAACGTTGGCAAATAACATCCAAAACGAATGAAAATTTAATTAGTCTTGGTAAAGGCAGATAAGTCTTGTTTTATGCTTAAACTCAATTTATAAATGGGCTTAAACAAAAGCTGCTGCGCTGAAAATTATATGCTAAACATGAAAATAGGCCGTGTATTTCGTGCATATTAACATCGATAGATTTGCCAACGATATTGAAGTTATCGCTATCTTAAGCAACAGCTGTTATTGTCCACGTTGCGCTGTGAATGACAAATGTGACGCGTATGGCGAAAAGTTGTGGACAAAATAAGTTAAGGAAAATTGAAGAAAATTGCAGAAATACAACATGAGCGAGTCTGTGGCAGATGCCGCTGCCGTTCAAGGGATGGGCAGCAACAAGATACACTTTTCCAAGGAGGTGAAGCAGGTTATTGACAAGGTGAAGCAAGCCAAGCAGCGACAAAATATGCCACGATAATGAACAACTTTTTTTTAGGTGCTGAAAACAGACGAACAGGATCCGATGGACGCACCGGACTTTAACACAGTTGATTACATTAATCAATTATTTCCCAATGAGCAATCGCTGGCCACCATCGATGAGACGATACAGCGCATGCAGTGTGAAGTCTCTCTGATTGATGACAATATACGCTCCGTGGTGCGCGGCCAGACGAACACGGGCCAGGATGGGCAACTGGCTCTGTGCGAGGCGCAAAAGGTCATCAGTTCGCTATTCAGTCACATTATCGATGTGAAAACGCGCGCCGAACGCACCGAGGAAATGGTCAAGGAAATCACGCGCGACATAAAGCAATTGGATTGCGCCAAACGGAATCTGACCTCGGCCATAACCACGCTGAATCATCTGCATATGCTTGTGGGCGGTATTGAGAGCCTAAATGAACTAATTGAGCGGCGCTCCTATGGCGAGATTTTGAATCCACTGCAAGCCATCACCGAGGTGAATCAACATTTCCAGCAGTACTCGGACATTGACGAAATTAAGGTATGAACCGTACTCAGAAGCGAATAAGGTTTGAACTGGACCCAGATTCATGAATGAAAACAAACACACACATTTGTATTCCAGAATCTCTCTCAGAGTGTGGATAAAATTCAAGTAACACTGGCGCAGCAAATAACAGAGGATTTCAAGGAGGCCTTTGCCAACAAACCCTCCACGCAGCACAGATTGGGCTTAAATCAGCTGGCTGATGCGTGCAAAGTGTTGTCCGTGCTGGATGCCAAGGTGAAGAAGGAGCTGCTCAAGTGGTTCATAGCACAGCAGCTGGAGGAGTATATGCATTTGTTTCACGAGAATCAGGATATTGCCTGGCTGGATAAAATAGACAAGCGCTATGCCTGGCTTAAGCGTCATCTGCTGGACTTTGAAGATAAATATGGATCAGTCTTTCCGCTGGACTGGGAGGTCTCTGAGCGCATCACAGTAGAATTTTGTCGCCAGACACGCCAACAGCTGGCACAGATCATGGCCAAGCGCACCGCAGAGATTGATGTGCGTCTGCTGCTGTTTGCCATTAACAAGACTCAAGCCTTTGAGCAGCTGCTCTCCAAGCGCTTTACGGGTGTCACCCTGGGCGCCACGCCCGCCGAACAGACGCGCGTTCTTACGCTGCCAGCTACGGCAGAGGCATCGCTTACCGTGACCGTATTCCATGATCAGATTGGTCAGTGCTTTAAGCCCCATCTGGATATTTATATACGCAGTATTGATCGCAATTTATCGGAGCTGCTTGAGAAGTTCATTGAGATGTCCAAGGAGCCGTATAAGTTTGCAGAGGCCAAGACTACAGTCTATCCCAGCTCGGGTGATCTATTTGTCTTCTACAAGAAATGCATGGTGCAGTGCAATCAGCTGAGCAACGAGCAGCCCATGTACGATCTGGCGCTGGTCTTCAAGAAATATCTGCGCGAATATGCCTCCAAGGTGCTGGAGGGTAGCACGCCCAAGCTGGTCACCAGCAGCACGGGCAGTTCCATTGGCAAAAGTGTCTCCCTGTTAACGCGCGACATGCAAAATCTGTCGACAGCCGCCGGTCAGGTATTTCACAACTTTCTCAAGGAGGGCGACACACAGCGTTTCAGTCGCGATGATCTGGTGCGCATTTGCTGCGTCCTGACCACCGGCGAGTATTGCCTGGAGACAGTGCAACAGCTGGAGGATAAACTCAAGGAGAAGGTGACAACCGCCTATGTCAGCAAGATAGATATGAGCGAAGAGAAAGATGTCTTCCATCGGTAAGTAGAAAGTCTGTTCAATAGACAACATTATTCACATATATATATATACATACATACATATACTCTGACTACGACTGACTGACTTATTCAATCATTTTCATTTTCACACAAATTAAATGAATTCATCTTTCACTGAAATGCGAATTTCACCTTGCTTTCGAAATATGCGCGAATCAATTTTTTTCAAAGGAACTTCAAATTTATTTCAACATTTTAACTAACAAATTATGGCGAAAAAACTTTGTATGAAATATTTTTATTTTTCATGCAATACACTTTCACCTTACAAAATCTTCATAAAAACTACTCTAAAATATGTTTCACCAAATTTGGAAAATCCACACTCAAAATCAGAAAACGACGGGAAAACTATTTTATGGAGCTGGTTAAAAAACAATTCAATTTTCGATGGATCAGCTTTCAACTAACTTTCAAGGCTCGGCATAAAAAATTATTACACATATTTAATTGATTCTGGGAAATTAAAACCACCCATAAAATCGTGGAAAACCCGCAACTTTAAGTTTTTCATGGGATCCTTTAAAACTTATTTTCCAACCTCACATAAAAAGGAACATTTATATCATCTACGTCATATAATCCATCCACACATTAGGAAAATTAAAGGAAAACAGATGTTAAATCTACTTTGCTGATTCGATAATGAAACCTTACTTTCTTCAGCATCATTTCCAATTGCATACAGTTGCTCGTGCAGGATCTGGAGGCGGGCTGTGAGGCATCGCTGCAGGCGATGGCCAAGGTGCAGTGGCAGCACATCAGCAACGTGGGCGATCAGAGCGCCTTCATCAGCAGCATTTGCGGCAACTTCAAGCAAACGGTGCCCGCCATACGGGACACGCTCGCCAGCTCCCGCAAATATTTCACGCAATTCTGTCATCGTTTCGTGGCCGCTTTCATACCCAAGTTCATCAATGTGCTGTATCGCTGCAAGCTCACTCTGTCGGATGGCTCCAATAATGTGCTCGGCTGTGAGCAGCTGCTGCTGGACACGCACTCGCTGAAGACGGCGCTGCTGGAGCTGCCGTCGGTGGGCTCGAGCGTCAATCGCAAGGCGCCCACCAGCTACACCAAGGTGGTGGTCAAGGATATGACCCGAGCGGAGATGATTATCAAAGTGGTCATGACGTCAGTGCAGCCGCCGGCGCATTTTACGCAGCAGGTGCTCAAACTGTTGCCGGACATAACCATAGCTGAGTATCAGAAAATCTTGGACATGAAGGCGGTGAAGCGTGTGGATCAGCTGCAGCTGATTGATCTCTTCAAGCACACAGCCTCCGCGGCCGCAGTCAGCGGTCTTTTGGATCCACCCAATAGCGAGGAGGAGTCGCTGCCCGTTGCTAATGAAACGCCTGCGCCCGCAACCGAGGAACCGGATGCGACAAACAATTCGTCTCTTGATGCCACAACGGCGCCCACAGCTGCAACGAATGCCACGCCCAAACGTGCCTTCATCTTCAGCGTGGGCAGCTTTACGGGCAGCGCGGACAAGAATGCCGATGGCAGCTCCCAGACAGGTATACGCAAGCTGGAGAGTCTGCTCAAGAAACGATTTCCTTAGTCAAGTCCACTAACTAGTAAATAACACAATCTAACATTCCATTAGTTCGATCTAATTTAAAAACAAAAAAACATGTTCCACATTTTAAGGACTCGAAAGCCTAACTTGAAGTTAGAATTTCTTTTTAAGAATTGACTATGCAGATTTGGAGATACTTTAAAGAAAGTCAAGGCTATTTATTTTCATGATTGTCAAGTAACAAAATTATGGATAAATTGTCTAAACAATTGTAAGAAATATTTGAATAACTTTTAAAATTAATGTGAGTCTAGAGAGAAAATGCTTATAAGGATTAAGACCTGCATGTGTATTGTATTTTAATTTAAAAAAAACATGCTCGAACAACTTTAAATATTTAATTAAAGCTCAAAAATGGCGAATATTTATAGGCTTAAAAAGGAAATTGGTTTCAAACTTTCTTTTGTAATTGTAGAACTTCTAATTTATTTTATTTGCCTTTTAATTCTTGAGAAGAGAAATCTAAAGTTTTGCAAAAGATTTAGATCGTTATTTTAAAAGATTTATTTTGTAATTTGACGCAGAATTTGTAACCGTTAAAAAAAATCCTGAAGAATATGTTTCGAAGGAAGTAGAATATATGCCAAATATAAAGCTCTGATAGTTCGCAGTTTTTCAAGGTATATTTTAAATTTCTCTATAGAGCTTTAATAAATAAAAACAAATTCATTTGGCAGAAGTAAATTGCGTTCCGAATATATTGTAATTTTCTAAATAATTTCTGCAAATTTTAAAAAAAATTCAAAAAATAATATTGAAAAGCATTTCGTGTTGGTTTACTGGATATTGTATTTGCTTTTATTGTAGACTTGACTTCTTAGTTTCTAAAAACATTTAACTTATGTGACTATATTGAAAATTGTATTCTTATGTGTTCATTGTGCTAATGACTACGATGTTCGCTTAAAGTTCTATGTGGAGCACTTACAAAAACTAGGATTTGCTTTTTAATGCCTATGTACATGCAAACTAAGTTTAACTAATTTAAAAATCGTACGATCTATAATTTGAAGATCTTTTGAAAGTTTTGAAAGTCGCCCGATGGGAGCGCACAAAAAATACAAATCTCTATAACAAAAGACTTAAGACACGAACTAAACTACATGATAATATTTCGAACAATTATTTTCAAATATTTTCTTTTTGTTTTGTTTTGCTTTTTTAATTTTGTTCTTTATGTTTGTATGTTAATATGCTTTGGTTTAATTCCAGCACTGCAAAAACCTATATATATATATATATATATATATATGTGTGTCTGTATATGTATGTATATAAGCTATATG